ACAAGTTCACAGCAGTTCCTGAAGTTCAGCTGCAACCCACACACAGAGAGCAAGGAGAGGCGGAATTGAAATCAAGGTTTAACTTCTTTGGTGTCTTATTAAATCGCACATTTCCCCGTCAAGGTTTCCTTAAACATGAAAACCTTCTCGGCGATGGGGACCCCAGCTGTTTAATTTAACATTGATTTATTGCTTTTAAAAGTAAATTTACACACATGCCAACAGCACTCCGTTTTGTTTCCCCAGACCCAAAGATTTATTTTCTACTTAGCGCTTGTCTGACAAAACAATGTCCTTTAACTTTATTACACATCGATGAGGAAATCTGTCTTATTTTTGTTTGGATTTATTGCTCTGTTACTTGTGGAGACTTTTTGTAATCCAGAAAAGCTAAGGTCAGGAAAGAAATACAAAATGAAACCTAGGCACAGAAGCAAATACCAATAAAGGCATCAGCATGCATTGGCGGATGGCAGTGCACACACAGCTCTGTTAAAATACATCTGGAGCCAGGAGTATAATTATAAAAGTGTGTGTGTGGGGGGGGGAGATCAGTTTAATTTTGAATGTGCAGGTAGACTTGCCTCCCCCCCCCCCCCTTATGACAAGCTCTTCCTTCAATGCACGTGAGCTCTGATATCTTTCCTGGCTCTTTGCAAAGATTGTCTGGAAATGTATCTATAATTATTGAAAGAAAAAAATATAGGGTTAGCTATACCATGCTGCCTCACCTCCGCGCAGTAAACTCCCAATTACCAAATCTATGTGATGGCAGAACTCAGGGGAATTAAGATGTACTTTGAAGCAGCCTTTACGGTACACTTCATCTACGTTTTGGTTTTCTTTAGTTCTCATTAAAGAGGCACTTTCTCCTTTTCACTGATATACTGTCTTTGTGTCCTTCATTTCACTCTCTCTCTCTCTCTAAAAAGAAGTTCTCACATCTTATCAGGAGGAGGCAAAATAATAATAATAATACTTTTAAAAAACCCACGGTTTGGCTTTCTTTTTTTAAAGTGCAAATCTTTTTTATTTTATTTTAAAGCAGGGCTTGTTCTTATTAACGAAAGGTCCTTTAATAACAGTGCGATTGGGGGGATATTAGGGGGCCATTTAGGAGGTAAAATTAGAGGAGCGCGCAGTGTTGGCCAATCTGTCCTTTTTTGTGTGCTCTGGGCTCGCTCTCCCGAACTGATTTCTCACAGAGGCATCTAATAATCACTTTAGAGATGTTCAAATGCGGACACTCGCTCTTTGCGAGGCAGAAGTGAAGATGTGACAGGTTTTGTTATCAGGAGGAGAGGGAGAGCTTTGTAAGATATTCCCTTTCTTCCCCCAGAAATACACCATCTCTCAATAAAGACCCCCTGTCTCCAAGCGTGACTACCCCTGCTGGCCGTGTCCACTTTCTGTCCGGTGCGGCCACATAAATCCCAACTCCATGTCACTTAACAGATTTTAATGATTTTACCAACCCAGGCAGGATTTTTTTTTTTCTGTAAGCAAATGGACTTTACTTCTTTCTCTCTCTCTCTCTTTCCCCCTCTCTCCCCCCACTCTGAAAACCCTTACGGGCTCTGCCAGTCACCACCCAGATTCATTAAAAAGAAATAACCAGAAATAAAGGGGAAAGCTGCGAAACCTGGAAAATTCCCCTATTCACTTGGGCAGCGGGTCCCCCACCCCCCAACCCCGTTTGGCCTTTGAGAAAAGGCCCTGTCACTCAGAAAGGGGCCAGTTCTTTAACCTCTGTCCCCTACACCCATAAGGCAGCCTCCTACCCCCCACCCCTACCCCAGAGGCCCTACCCCTTGGCCCCCACACCCACGTCTTTCCAGCCAAGGAACTGCAAAGAAGCTTTGGCTTCTTGAACCAGGCGACCAGGCACTCTCCAGCCAGGGCAATAGTAGGCCACAGCGGCGACCAGACAGGCAGGGCTGCCCTGCCTACTACCGAGGGTGAGTTTCTAGGTGGAGGAGCCTGTTTGATCAACTGTTGTCCACAGCTAGGGAGGGGAATGCCTCTGATAAGCCACCAGGACCAGCCCCCAGCCCCTCCAGGTGGAGAGGGGCTCCCCTCTGGAGCTGAGCAGAAGCGATACCCCACCTCGTGCAATGGCTATAATAGAGCCCAACATCTGGACCGGGGAGCTGTGTCAGCGGAGACGCTCTTCTAAGTGACACACGCGAGGGTGTAATATAGGTCTGCGTGTATCGACACACACTCCCCACACACATCTACCAAGTCCTAACGGGGGGTGTGTGCTACACAGAGCTGCGTTTCACCTTTCATGCCTCACAAAGCCGGGCATTTCTTTGCAGTGGAGTAAATGCACTGATGGGAGAGTTTAGGAGACTTATTTGGGAGGAAATGGAGGGTCAGTTTTGGTCTAAGTGGAACATCTGCAAAACATTCAGACAGCTTATTCAGCAAAGAATCTCGCCATTTATTGCAGAAATAATAAAAGGCACTAATGATTATAGTTCCCACCCTCTTCCCCCCAAAAGGGCAAAGCTTAATGAAATAATTCGAAGGTATGCCTCATTTCCTAATGGTGGAATTAAAACAGGGGGGGGAAGAAAGTAAAGAGCAAGCAAGCAAGAGGAGGAAGAAGGAGGAGAAAAAGAAACACATTCAACTCCACTTCCCAGTCTTGTGTGCTGAAGGGAATAGGATCCGTGTTGAGAAACGAGGTAAATAAAATGGAAGTGGGAATGCTATTAAACACAGCATACCATGCGAGGCGCGCGCATAGTTCCGCCTTGATATGCAATTAAATTACAGCAAATTCCTCTTTAAAGAATATCGTTTGGAATCCTTCTTTAAGATTCAAGGATGTCTGAGGTTAAGTAGCTTTTAAAACGTCATTTCTAAATGGCTTATGCAATGAATAGCTACCTTTAAATCCTAAAACCATTATAAATATGCTATACATATGGATGCCAGTTTATCTCTACATAGTTCTTTTTAAAATGAGGAAAGCATTCATAAAAAGCTACTTGGCACACTTTATTTTAGGCAAGCAGATGTTAATTTTTTCACGTATCATTTTATGACCAAGTACATGTGTAACATTGGAAAGCATCCAGAACGCCTCTATTATTTGCTAAATGACTGTTAGTCGAGGCAGACTATTCTCAGCATAGCCAAGGTATAGGGTATATCAATAAAATAAACATCTGTGATTTTAGCAGGAGAGGCAAAAAAAAAAAATTAAAGAGTTACTATAAAAGTGGAAAAAGCATTTGTGTAGGAAGAACACACCTGCACTGGAGTGAATTGGCTATTTATATTGCTCTATGCAAAGCAGGCTCTCTGTTGTGTACTTGAGATTATTTACTTTGTGTAAAATAAGGTTTAAAAACCCATGCTAAGATCCGATCCGCATTGTAGCTTTGTCCCCAACGTGATAACATTTATTGTGCGCTGTTTTAAATGCCCTGGGATGTATTCCAGGCAAGAGGTGTGTGGGTTTTTTCTTTCCCCTTCAACAGCCCGATGTTTAGCGCGGAGGAATGTATGATTATATGCAGTTTCTCGCTCAAAGTGTTTGAGTCGGAGAATTCCCATAGAGAGCTGGGTTTTCTTTTTCCTCCCCCTCCCACTCCCAAAATATCTTTGAGAACCCGGACTTGTTTGTACTGCGTTATACGAGGACTGGAGCACATGCGGGGAAAAAACACACACACCCAAGCATGGAGCCCTGGCGTAATAATTAACCATATGCAATATTTATTGTGTTGTAATGTTTGCTATCAGGAAGGCAAACGCAGTCAATGGAGGTTTAACAAATATAGTGTTATTGATCAAAAGCAATAAATAAATATGCATATGCATTATTTATATAGGCACACATGCATATATACACACACACAGGACCAGCTCATTATTACATATTACAAACGCTGGCTCCACCGAAAAGCTCCAGTGACTGCTCCTTTTTCTTTTTCTTTTTTTTCCCCTTAGCACTGCCCTTTGCTAAGGGGCCAGGGAGGAGGTTTTTAACATAAAATGCTGCAAATATGAAAAATAGGTCACCAATAAAATTGGTCTCAGCATGGAGTGTAATTGTAACAAAATGCCGCTGCGTAAAATCGAGGAGCTAGCTGGCGGTGGTGGCAGAGTCGCAAACCATCTGGTGTGTATTAAAAGCAGTGCTGTAAATATTGCTGAAAACTAATGCATTATCAGCTTCTATAAGTGCACGGGGCCTGCAAGCTTTCCATATGTTGGAATATGTAGATCTGGGGGAAAGGAGGGAAAGGGGTCCTATCAATCAGGGGCTCTGCAAGCCGAGGCTGGGCAGGCTCCTCGTGGAAATTCGTCCCAGAAGAGAGAGAAGGAGAGAGGGAGGAAGAGGAAAGAAAGAAAAGAAAATAGAGAGGTAGGATCTGCCCCTTCGCAGGCTCCCCCCTCTCCCTCCCTCTCGCAGTGCAGAGGATAGGGTAGGCGCTGGTGACGTCACGGCACATCAGGGCAGGAGAGTCAATGTTACAGGGAGAAGCGGCTCATCTGGTTCCCATCACTTGGGAAGTTTTGCTTGGACTTTTTTTTGGGGGGGGGAGTTGTTTTTGTTTACTACTTCTCCGCTCCGGGGCGGCGGGTTGTCCCCGCCGAGCCTGCTGCCCGGCTCGTCCGGGGGGCTCCGGCCCCGGCAGCCCAGCGTCGCCCCGCAGGACGCGCATCAGGCCGGCAGCGCGCGCACACGCACGAAGCGAAGCGCCTCGCAGGGCCCCGGCCGCGGTCCCGGGCAGGCGCGACCAGCGCCCGGGCTCCTGCAGGCGTGACGTTTCTTCAGCCCTGCCACTTCTCCTGCCCCGCTCCCCCACCCTGCCAGGGGTTTCCCTGCCTCCGGATGCACCTTCCCAGGCAGGGACCGGCTCCCCCAGCCTCTCTGGTCCAGCTTCGGGCCACTGTTCTCCCTCGCAAGAAAACTTCGGCTGCAAATTCACAGCAAGCCCCTTCCTCCCAGTCTCCCTCTCTGCACTGAGGTCACTTACTCTTTCTCGCCGTTGGCCTGTAGTTCCTGAATCTCGCTTCGTCCTTCTCCTCTGGTCTTCAGGCTGTGCTGTGAGAGCCTTGTGTTGATAAACCTGCTGTTAATGACAGCCCAAGTGCAATCAGAAAAGAAATAAAACTCTTACTGTTTTTTCCCCCAAGCTGCATTCCCCTCTGACCGCTGCCTCCTTTAATTATGGGAGTTATATTTCTTCTTTGGGAGTCATTCGTGGGGATTTTTTTTTTTAGGTGGAAAGGCGTTTCTGCTGAGTTATTTTTGAGCAGGGACCAGTGCCCCATATGCAGAGGCTTTGAGTGAAGTGCAGATTGAGACATATCGGGTTCCCTATAAAAGGATCATTTCATGTGGGAGGTTGGACACAAAGTTTGGACTCGTGACTGGCATTCCTGAGAGACATGCATATTTTAAAACAACAAAGCAAGCTCGAAACAAGGCTTAGAGGAGGAAAAAAAAAACTTGGAAAGAAGTTAGTAAGTGACAAACATCTGTCAACATGGACTAATTTGTACGCTCCCTGGAAAAATACCTGACTAGTTTAATTTATAACTTCAGGCAGCAGTTTGCAGTAAGTTGTGTGCACTCTACTCCTCAGAAACCTTGTTAGAAATGGATTTGAGCTCAGCGCTGGAAGTTTAAAGAGCTTTCTGGCCTAGAGATGAAAGTCACAATTCCTCTTTTTTTCTGGCTCTTTGTGGAGAATTTTGTCACCGTTTGGAGAGGAGCGTTAATCGGGAAATAAGCAGGGGAAAAGACACAAAGCAAACACCGATGTAGATACTTTTCTTTTTTTTTTTTTTCCTTTCCTTTTTTTTTTAAAGCAACCGGTAGTTTTCACCCTGTAGGGGAAAAAATGAAGCTCTGTTTGATATGCCCCATAAATCGCACGTAAGAGCGAAACCCCCCCCACATGATACGCATATGTGTAACCACACCAAAGCTTCTTGCTACAGGTGACAAAGGAAAAGTAGCAGACCACTTCCACCATCACTGGTGCAGCTCTTCACACTGGCGCGATAGCACACGCAGGGGCACGGGCTTTATAGGGAAGGGAGAGAAGTTTGCACAACCCATTGGGAAACCGCAGTGGGTAGGGTCCTTGCTCATTTGTTTTTTAACATCTTGCCTCCTCTGGAACCAAGTGGAAGTTGGTTCACGGCACAGAGCCCACGTATAAATCTGTTTCTCTTAGAGATTTGAAGACAAAAGGAGAGGAGGCCTAGTGGTGAGCTGGATATCTCTGTTAGTTGTCAGTGCAGGTCCATGGGCAGGGAGGGAATGCTAATGAGGCTTTGCAAAGCGGACTGAAAACTCTCTCTCTCTCTCACACACACACGGTCTCTCCCCCTCTCCCTCCTACACCCACAGAGTGTGCTCTCAAACACTCGCATAGAATATCCTTGTCTGATTCTCACACACAGAATATCCCTCTCTGAGACACGCACAGCCTCCCTCCCCTGCACACACAGGATCTCTGTGTCGCCTTGCAGACACCCTGAACCTCTGACTCTCTCTCTCATGCACTGTCTCTCCCTCCTCTCGCAGCCCAGGGATCGATAGCTGACCCCACGGTTTGGCCAATGCTTTATTTATTTGGCCAGGCAATGATATTATCAGCCTTAAACGTTATATACAGCAAATGTCTTCCTAAATCAACACAATAGGATAGCTTACAGCAACCAGGCTGATCTCCCTGAAAGTACTCACCCCCACCCCACTTCTCTTTCCTTCTCCTTTTTTCTTTTCTTTTTCTTTTTTTTTACAGGTGGGGTTATTTTATACTCTGTAGTTTTGGATTTGATCCATTGTTTTAAGCTTGATGGAGGGCTCTGCAGACAAGGAGATGTATATACACTATTATACAGCCATCATTGAGATTACTAACAGTGATTCTCTTGTCAGCCAGACGGTCTTGCTTTGAAACACTACTCACATTATCCTGATTTTTCAAAATTGGGGTAAGAGTGTTTCAAAAAGATACAGTTTCCTACTGTCCTCTTTGTTAATTGTTCTCTTTTAGTAGCAATTATATTTATAAACCGGTCTGGTACCTTTCACGTTGTGTCTTTGTGTTTCCAATGGAAACCACGTGTGTGTGAGGGGGGGTATGAGACTTCCCCTGCTTCCCCAAACATACAGGCATTTAGATTTGAGTTACAACCATCACCAGGCCAGAAATAATAATTGGTGACACAGTCACCAAGGTCATACGTTTTACACCGTGCAACCTCACAGCAGCTCCGAGCAAGCTATTGTACTTGCAGCTGACAAGGCAAGAGACGGGGGTTTTTCTATGCCAGTCCTCTGTAATTTTGTTTTACAGGTGGTTACACCTTGCACCAGAGAAAATGTCCTGCAGGAAGATGCCTGCAGTTTGTTGGTTTTTTTTTAACTCCAGTCATCCATCAGGCACCCAGAGACAGAGACAGAGACAGACAGACAGAGACAGCGAGAGGAGGGAGGGCTGTAAGACTGAAGTCACCTTATCTTTGTGAGCTCGACACTTTCCCCCTTGCTCTCCAGCCGGTTGGGGCTGGGATCGGAGGGGGAGCCCGATATATTTAGGGGAGCATTTTACTCCAGATCCTTCAAAGAAAAAAAAAAAGGGAGTCGGAAAATGGATTCGCTGACAAGTAAGGATAATAAATGAGAGGCGCTTTCAGATAGATATCTCAGACGTGAAATTGCGCCCAGCTGGTTGTGTAAGCAAACAAATAGTTTCATGTTAGGGACTCTCGACTTGTGGCTTGATGAATAGAACACGACAGAGGTAAATGGCTCTTTAACTCATTTAGGAATAAAACTCTTTGGCTTCCGAAGTAAAAGACCTGGTGACGCCATGGATCCTGAGCAAGCAATTTAACAAGAGTTTTATGAGTTTCCACTTGTGTTCCCAAATCGCCCTCGCCCCCTCCCCCTCTGTGAAACCGTCGCATGTTAGGAGGAATCACCACGTCACTGATGCTGGGAAACCCGGCAGGTTTGCAAGGTGGCAGAACAACGTGCTGGCGACCAGGCGGAGAGCAACCCGCTCCATATGTGTGTGCATACATATTCCCACCAAGCCCCCTTGAACTGCTGCAGTGATATTCCTCCCCGGTCGCTCTGACCCGGATGGTGTAAAAACCACTTCAAAGCCAATGGCAGCGAAGCGAAATAGGAAAGGGACCGCTGGGCATTTTTTTTTAATGTATTGCTTAATTTTCTTGTTTCAGTCATTCTGTTTCCAAAATGGGGAGGAGGGCACTGGAAAGAAGCTGGGGTTGGGGAGGAGGATTTCTAAAGAAAGCACCCAATTAGACAGGCTTAAGGATCGGGGCTGTGAAAACATTATTTCAAGGCTCAAAGCTAACCTCCAGAATAATCACAATGTTCCATGAAACCCGAGGAAGCAGAGCGCCAGGATCTGTAATAACCGTGTAACATGTCATTAGGGGACATTGTTTATGAATGCCTCTTCACTTGAACATTGGTGGTGTAGTTGGTGAAACAATATCTATCCATCTAGCCATCCAGCCAGCCAGCCAGCCAGCCATTCCAGCAGGGCTGTTCCACCAGGAGGCGAGTGTGCAGTCTTGCTAGTCTAGCATTTCCTTGGGGGAAACTTCCTGAGATCCCTTTTTGATTTATAACTGAGGCTTGTGTCTACATCTACAACAGTTTACAGCTACTTCAAAGCAGCCAAAGTTCTCAGGCGCTCGGTGTGTTTGCGGGAAAGGGAAGGCCTGACTTTCATATGTCACAGGTAATTTTCTCATAAGGCAGAGGGGGTTTGGATTAAGCCCCTTTCCGTCTGCTGAAATGTATTTTCGCTCGGTGTTTGGAGTCAGTCTCCTTTGCAATAACTTAAGTGGAGTTTACTTGTTCCTTTATTACTTCTACAGTAACGTAAAATCACCTGGAGCCGGAGGCGGCCGAGGAAACGCTTTGTATAATATCCATTATTTATCTCCCACTAAAAGAGCATCTCTGCATATAGGCGAACCTGCCTGTGCGACGCATTATTAAACCCGGCCCTCTCCGTGTGTGATGTGTGCAGTAAAAAGTGCCACTTACAAGGCCTTTCAAATCCCTGCTAATTTTGAGGGATGCCAGAGGGGCCGGGGCCATCCTTTTCTCCCCTGTAGATGTTTCTAAACGCTCTCTGCTCTGCTAAACGGCGGCAGACTCATGACTGCCAAAACTGGCCTCCCAGGTCAGCTGAGCCAGAGACTGAAATCTAGACAGGGAAAGGGTCAGACACGATTCTCTCCCACCTTTCCCTTGGCCCGAAAACCATCTATTTAAAAGAAAGAAAGAAAGAAAGAAATCCTCCCCCCCCCAACACCAGCACGGTTTATTTGATCTCCGCGGGTAGGCAGAGAGTCTGCCCTGACAGTCTACCAAGAAATCAGCTGTGGCTCAAGCTACCACTGAAAAGGGGGTGGACTCCAAATATTGATTTGACTGAATGGCAACACCCTAATTGGGGTGTGGGAGGAAGCAAGCGTGTCAGTGGGAAGCCAGAATGTATAGCCAGGGCACTATATTGCAATGAGTAAACTTGTGCATTGCCCAAGTCTGTGCCTTACAGTGTCTGAGTGCTGACAAACTTTTTAATGAGCACACCCTGTGACTGCAGCGGGAAAAAGCAAACACCTGCGCCGCGGACAGGCCCTGGCAGAGTCGTTTTTGCAGCCAGCAGAGCCAACCCCATCTTGTATTTGACCCAAGCGGGGACACCATCAAAGCACTCGCTTCCTCTGCAAAGGCGGGGAGGAAATGCAGCAGTCGGGTCAAGGAAGGAGTCTGAGGCTAAGCAAGACAACAAGGCAGGAGAAGTGTAACTAGAGGTGGTTTCCAAACAGCATACTGTACGTAAGCACCAGCTGATTGAGGCAGCCTGGCCCTTCTCCACGTTAACATTGCAGCACAAGCTGGGCGACAAGAGACAAGATGATACAATGTATCTTCAGCAAATACGGCAGGGCCAAGAGCCCGGAGGGTGGCCAAGGGACATCTCCCCGCACACAACAGCTACTGGAGAGTGAACACGGCAGCACACAACACCGTATATAAGCAAAGTTTAATAAGGGAACGAAACACTTCTTGCTAGGCACATACATGGAAATCAGTGCAGCTCGCACACCGCCTGCACCCCTGCGCGGTTCTTGGCAATCGCTGGGTTATCATTATTCATAAATAGGAAAATTAATTGAAAAATACGTTTCTGACCTACTAAAAAGTTTCTCTGTTTTCATCAGTGGGATCACACTGTAATGAATATATTTACATCTCATTGGAAGGAAGCGAGATCTCCTCGCTCAGAGCCACGCTGCATCCTCTCCCCCCCATCCCCATCCCACCCCGCACCCATCCCACCAAAACAATGCTGAAGGATCACTCCAGTCTCTCCAAGTGCCGAGCGGCCGAGTTCAAGCTCTGCTTTCCCTTGTCTCTCTGTAGAGAGCACGGCTGGTCCACCCTCTCTGCCTGGGGAAGCCGACCTGGAGGAGGAACAAAGCTGTCGCCTACAGAGCACCATGTGAGTTGGGGAGGGAGGGAGGGAAGCGGGGGCGGGGGTGTGTCTGATTTCCACCCTGGCGTGCCCAGGTTTGAAATAATCAGGCCCAGAGCTGCTCCCAAGAAGACAGCTCGGGTCTCCATATTGAAATTGGCTCTACCCCCATAGAATATCTGCCCGCGCTGTTGATTATCCAGCTATAAGTGCCTACTGTATAGAGCTGCTCTCGCCTCGGATCGGCTGCGCCTGGAATATTAAAAACCCCAAGC